GATTACGGATTATTGCTGGTTAAAAAAAAAAAGATAATGGATTATTTGGATAGGATTTTAGGATTATTAATGATATGCAAAGATCATCCATTTTTGCAATTGAAAATAAAAATAAGAGCTACAATTTGCAGTTTGTAAGAGGTCATAAGATGCTATTCAATATCAATATCTTCTTTATACTGGGGACACCATTAAGGAGCCGATTACATGGAGCATTATCAACCCCGGGGTTGAACTTAGCCCTGTTTACCGGGTTGAAATTTCAGCCCTGTCTGTAATACAAAACTCTATCAAAATCAAACGCGCGATTACATGACAAAATTTTCAACCCAGGGCTGAGTTCAACCCCGGGGTTGAAATTTCAACCCTGCTTCAGCCCAGGGCTGAAATTATCATGAGTTATTCGAGCATGCGTGGTAGTGACTATTTATTACAAGAAAACAAAATAAAGGCTTTTTACTTCCGCAAATCGATGCCGAGAAGGTACAGTATAACGTTTTAACCCCGGGGTTGAAATTGTCCATGTAATCGCAAAAAATTTCAACCCGGTTAACAGGGCTGAGTTCAACCCCGGGGTTGAAAATGCTCCATGTAATCAGCCCCTAAAAGGTGCTGAAAATTTTTAATTACTGACCATTTCGCACATTTGAGATGGAACACACTCGATCTTCGCGCAAACACGTATACACGTAAAAATCTCACAACTTGTCAACAAGATGTGTTCGCAAAAGGCTTGTAGCAAGCTTGTCTACAAGTTGTAACAATGCTGATATTTTATCAAGTTGCTACAAAGTTGTCACTCACAACTTGTTGACAAATTGTTGATATCAAGTTGTTGGAACAACTTGTAACAAGTCTGTTGAGCTCAACAACCTTGTAGCAAGTTGTCAATTGACAACTTGTCAACAAGCTGGGACAGGGCCATAGCTAGCATGTATAGTTGGGGAGGTGTCGGGCAAAAATTTCCAAATGACAAAAAAAAATTCCGAATCTTTCATGACATATATGAAGGCTGTTTTTAATCGGGGGGAGGCTGAAAACGAGGGCCAAAGGCCCGAGGAAATTTTTAAATTTAGAGTCTCTAAAACGGCCATTTCCTGATTTTCCGAATATGTTAATTCTAAAAAAGTTGGGGGGGTTAACCATCCCCCACCCCAATACCCCCCTCGCTACGGTCCTGAGCTGGGAACAAGCAGTGCGAACACATCCTGTTGACAAGTTGTTGGAACAGCTTTGAGTTACAACTTGTGCGTTTTTTAATACGTGTGTATGTGACATGCATGAATCACACGCATGAATCACTCGAGTGTCACTTGATCTCGTGTGGAATAATTTGACTGTTCACATTTCTTTAAATTATTAAAGGAATATTTTTGTTTATAGAAATGGGATACGGATTATTTTTAAATTTTTGCTAGGATTATGGATTATTCAGACCCCCCCCTAACAGGGCCTCTATAGTGTGAAGCAAGAGAATAAGAACTACTTCAGCCTAAAGTCAAAATGCACTGGTTCTTTTATGCAGGGCTTACTGCATATCATATTCCCATAATAACAATATTAATAATCATTTTACTGTATTATATATAACTGTTTTTATTGGCAATTTTCTAATTGACATACAACCTATGTATTTGTAAAATTTGATATACAATACCCTGTTGGCTTGATCTTTTGACAGAATCAGTATACAATCAATATACAACTATTATTGCCAACATCAACGATTGCCCAGCTAGCGAGATCACACTTCGTTAGTATAAAGTATAAAATATAGCTAGTTCACACATCGCCAGCAAGTTCGGTACAGGTACAGCAAGTTTACAATTCACTAGCTGCTTTTTTGAAAAACATAATATGAACCAAATTATCGCCACGAACACACACCAAAATATACACCTAGAGGAGATAGAATTCGAATTTTTATAATGTATTAATTAAAAACAGACTATCAAGTTCATTTACATATATATATATATATATATATATATATATATATATATATATATATATATATATATATATATATATATATATATGAACGTTCAAATAACTATTTTTATCAACATACCTTCCAAAATGTTTTTTCTCCAAAATATCAAATAGTAATTGTATGGGGTCGCTGTAATTGGGGAAACCTGTGGTGAACTCCCTGGCGCTATATTAGCCGAATCTCATTAAATCATTAAAATAAGCCTTGTGTAATGGAAAAATATGCGATATGCCATATGGTCAAAATTAAATGTCATAGCTCCTATGAAGCTACGGCACACCGAACACAGCTTTCAGAAGTGATCGCGGATTATCATCGTAAACTTCCTGCGTATATAAATTTGTACACAACGTCATTCTGTGACGTCAGAAAATGCGACCCGAATGACCGACAAACAAATTGAGATTTGCTTTGGTTAAAATACATAAGTCGCGCGGGGATCTGGCACGAGTAAAAACTGCAAACGTTGTCAAGAATAGGTGGCTGCCTTCGCTTCGCTCGGCAGCAATGATCAGGGGTATTAAAGAACATCCCTAAACAGTACATTTGGGCAGCTAGAAACAGAATGACAAAATTATACAAGTCATTTAATATTTCAAACAGTACTTACCATTGGAAAAAGTGGCAAAAGTGCCTCGAGCCACGGTCAGATTTTTCCCACCTAGGATTTTCCCGGGTTCACCATTGTTGGATACTGCATTATGCATTTTTAAGAAGTATATATTAATTATTTGAAATACAGCAAAATTGAGCAAATATAGGTCTATAGCAAACAATTTGAATAATATCTTTCGTAATTGTTCTCATATTACTGTAATATGGATACGTGATTAAAGCAGGAAAAACTTCCGAAATATATTCCTTGATCAATAGTATAATTATCCAGTTAAACACTGAACTATAAAAACCGCCGAAAGCGTGCCGAATTGTGCCGAATATGTTCGGAAAACAGTCGTAAATTCGAAGCTGCGATCACAGTCACAAAATGCAACGGTCAGCGTGCAAAAAATTGTGCAATTGTTACTAAATATAGTAACTTTCTGCAATACAAATGACAACAATAAAGTTCGATACTTGTCGACTTGACGGGATAAAGTTACATCACAAGCTACATTGTGCAGTTTTGAATCGAATGCTATCAGGATGGAAGCTTTTAAAAAGGTCGATGTTCTTAGGAAGCTCGTCAAAATCTTTCAACAAGCAAACCTAAGCGAACATATTTCAGGGGAATTATCGCTCTTGAGGCAACAATGTGATGAATTTATCACTGAAGAAAGGCTGCGCCGTATGAAATCTACTGGCGACATCGTGCTGCGAACTTGCGAATTTTCAAAACTGCAGTTCCCCAAGAGCCAAATGAAAGATCTGAGCCTAATGTTCCTGTTAGGTAAGAATTTTTAATCGACTTATATTAAATTTGCATTTACGCTGGGGTCAGGGAATAATTTCTTTATGCAAATTTGTATGTATGTAAATTTTTGTTATACCATGCATGATATATTTTTGTGAAAATGACACTGTAATAGTGTGACTCGTCACAAGTCACACATCTTTACGCATGTGCATAATCTGCTTAGAAATATATAATCAAGTTATTAAATAATAATTACATGTGGTTTTTCAATATAGTAGGACACATTGGATTAATACATTGGATTACTCTGGGTCACATTGGTCACAATGGTCACAATGGTTACAGTGGTCACACTGGTCACACTGGGTCACAATGGTCACACTGTATTGAAGGACGCATTACAACGCAAGTGCACAATTATCATGCATAATATCAATACAAATTATATTATTATATTAATTATATTATTATATTAAAAAGGTCTGTAAAGATAATAATTTAATTAAATACGTTTGTAAACTGATCTGTATGAAGCCAAAGAATGGACAAGTCAAACTGACTCAATATATTTCCAGCTTTAGCAATATATGATGTGGAATCGTAATATAATCGAGATCGGCATTGACTGATTATGACAAGTATATAAATTGTTACGAAATTCACTAGCGATAGAGCTTTGCTGCATGGACCTACGCTGTTACTCAGTTGCTTTGTTTAGTACATATAATGTAGTTATCTGTAAAGCCGTTGGTTGACTACCTCACGGGCGTTCGTTGAGGGTTTGTCAACCCTGACCCTAATCCTCACTCATACCAACCCTAATGATATTGACGTAATATTGACGTTATCCACAACGAACGTCATCCACAACAAACGAGCTTGGTAGTCGACTACGAGTGTTATCTTGTATACAGTGGCGTAGGAAGCAACTTAAACTTGGAGAGGCGCCTATTCAGTCGTCTTAAGGGCACTTCCTCTTAACGAAATGGCATATTTACATTGTCTTAGCTGACAAAAAAGGGCACTTTGAAGAAAAGTTGGGGGTACTGGCCCCTGTTCCACCCGCCGGTTCCTACGCCCCTACTTATATATATGTAAACGACTGATATAAACCTGTATATATGAGTATAACATAAACCCAGCTCTAAATCGTATTTCTTCGCACATTACCTTATTGCCTACGCTGTGCATGTGGCGGTATATTTAAGGTTTGGACTTTGGGGTTTCCTTTGCCGTTGCGCTTGCCTCGATGCCGCAACTCTTAAAACTGCCAGATACGCAGGCTACGCATTGCCGAGCATGTTATCGCTGGAAATCGGACTGCAATCGTGGCTGTTGATAAAAATTCCTTGCTGGTACGTCATAATGTGACATCACAAATGACGATAGCACGACATAAAAGTTATGGCGGGAAATTCAAATGTGCTAAAAATGCCATTGTTAATGTATTAATGGGGACACTGCGACAGGCAGTATATAGCCCAGCTTCATTGTAAACACTATTAGCGCGTCTGCTCTGAAAATTGATGTAAATTTGGTTCAAGATTCCTATATTTTGAATATTTACAAGATTCCATAAAAGGCTAAATTTCTCGACAAGGTTGATGTCCTTTCTAATGACTTTAATGATTTTAAACAATCGTTAATGACTGAGGATTCCAAGCGGTATACAAATGCACTCAAAAACGAAAATGGTAGATTAAAAGAGCAAAATCTGCTCTTAACAGACAAGCTAAATACTGTGTCCTATATCGTATCAGATCTGAACACAAAAATCAAAGATCTCGAAGACGAGAAAGCATCTCTAGTAACGACCATCAAGATTATCAAGGCTGATACACCTAATGAGTCTCAATCAACTCAGTCTACGCTAGCTTTGAAGACAAACATTTCGAAAAATCAAGCCAGTCAATCCAGAAATACTGAAGTGCCTTCGACCGACGATGACGACGGAGAATCAATATCAGTTCCAGAAGAAATAACAAATAAAAAGAAGAAAAAAACCAAGAAATCGGCTATGACGAAAAATGCAAGCATAGGTGCAATGCCCCAAAACCCACCCATGCAAGAAAATGTAAATGAGAATCAAGATGCCAACTTGCAGAATTAAAAAATTTAAAAAGAAAACCACTATAATAGCCGGGGACTCCATCGTCAAAAACATCCAAGGTTGGCGGTTGTCTGATTCTAATAATCATGTTGTAGTCAAGAGTTTTTCGGGATCCACTATCTCTGACATGGAAGACTATCTTAAGCCAATTATCCGGAGGGAACCCAGCAAAATCATTCTACATGTCGGAACTAATGACATCAACCATCTGACTGCCCAACAAATCGCCAAAGGAGTTGCAAATCTTGGAACGCAAATCAGTCAAGACTCCCCAAGAACGAAGTTGCACTATCAGGTATTTTACCCAGAACTGACAAGCCCGGGCTGTCAAGTAAAATTAAGGCTACTAATGATATGATTAAATCGTTTTGTCAACATAACAAATGGGACTTTTTAGACCATAAGTCTATTGACCCGTCTTGCCTAAATGCTAGAGGTTTACACTTAAATCGTAAAGGCACCACCGTTGTTGCCAAAAACATCACTGACTATATCAGCAATTAATTAGCGGACACAGGTAATTCGATTAAGCCTCCAAATTCCACAGACCAAACTACAACCATCCCTAGTAAAGCAGTACAATACGATTTTGGTATATCTAAACTCAAAGGTTTCAAAATCGCTTCCTTAAACATTGCAAGCTTAGTAAAACACATTGATCAGCTACGGATAAACATGAAAGAGCAAACCATTGACGTCTTGGCTTTAAATGAAACACGACTTGATAGTACAATAAGCAATCTTGAAATTGGCATTAATAATTATACAATCATTCGCCGTGACCGAACAAGACACGGTGGTGGTGTTGCAATATATATTCGAAGTACAATTGAGTATAAAATCCGTGACGATCTTAAAGACGATGGCCTTGAGTTTCTGTGTATTGAAATAACCAAACCTAAAATTAAACCTTTTCTTATATCAACATGGTATAGGCCACCTAATTCACCTGTCGAACTTTTTGACAAATTTCATGTAATTCTTGAAAAAATCGAGTCATTGAACATCGAATCGACTATTGTTGGTGACCTAAATTGCAATGTTGCAGCCAACAATGTCGATAATAATACAAAACATTTACTTGATTTATGTGAATTGTACCAGTATAGTCAACTTATCCAGGAACCAACGCGTATCACTAGTAGTTCGTCCACACTAATTGATCTTCTCCTCACAAATGAACCAATTAAATTTTCCATATCAGGAGTTAAACATATTGGGATAAGTGACCATAGTCTAATATATGCTTCAAGAAAACATTGCGACCGATGCAGATCAAAACCCAAAATACTAGAAAATCGCTACTATAAGCATTTCAATATCGAAAACTTTAAGCGTGATATAGACCTAGCTGCTTGGCAGTCAATATCATTAGTAACTGATCCTGTCAAGGCATGGGATCTTTGGAAATCTACATTTCTCAATATTGCAGACTTACATGCTCCAATTAAAAAACGACGAGTTAGGAAAACTTGTGCACCCTGGTTAACTACTGAGATCAAACATTTGATGTGGGAGAGGGATCGCTTGAAACGAATTGCTGTATTAACTAACGAGGAATCAGCTTGGTTTAACTTTAAAAATCTTAAAAACCAAGTTAACTTTAAAATTAGGGAAAATAAGACACAATATTACAACTCGTTTTTTAATGATAATCTGGGTGATTGCAAAAAAACTTGGAATGGTATAAATACTATACTATCCAAGAATAAAAACCTTACTCATACGGAAAAAGTCGTCGTTGATGATGCTGTAATCAATGATCCGCTCGGGGTAAGCAATGCCTTCAATAGGCACTTTACTGGCATAGGACCCAAACTTGCGGCAAAAATCCCAGTTAATTTAAATGCAAACTATGACCATATTAACAAACCTGAAAATGAATTTGAACTTCTAATAGTCAGTGAGTTAGTAGTTTCAAAGTTAGTTGAGAAACTGTCAACACGTAAAGCTAATGGTCTAGATAACATTCCAGCTTGTTTGTTGAAAGCAAGTGCGCCAACCACGATAAGCTCGTTGACTTACATTATAAATTTGGTAATCCATAC